ATACCAGACGTGTGTACACTTGTCTGCACAATCAGTGGGGGACAGCAGACAAGTTCTCCCAGTAATACCCTGAGTTTCTTTAAGGTACCTTCAAAAAGAAAGAAAGAAGCCCATACTGCCTGTGCTATGGGCAAAGAGCAATCTTGAGATCTGGACTAATATCAAATTTTTAATAAAATTGCAATGGTTGTCTTCCCAACTCATTGAAGCTTTATACCAAGTTTGTGGGAATCCTACCCCACACAAACAACGAGTTTTAGACTGGTCAAACTTTTTACAGGAGTTTGGGAAGACCTCAGAGATGAGCCAAGGGAAGGAAGACCGTTAACCTCAACCAATGAAGAAATTGTAGCTGAAATCCAAAAGCTGTTCGAAGAAGGTCATAGAATGACCATGGATGCTCTGGGATCTCACGTGGTTTGGCCTGGTCCTTTACAAATGTCCATCTGGGCCACAGCAAGCTTTCAGCTGGATGGGGAACTAAAAACAATGTGCAAGGAGCAGGTAGGTCAAAGCTGACCTTTCCATCAGCCTTTTAAACAAGATTGATGTGAATGAAGACAATTTTATGGAACAAATTTGTGAGGAACAGAAGGATTTCTCTTAAGTTGTCTCCCCAAAATATATACCAGACTTAGCTGCTTGAGAATGACTGTTCTTTAGGCAGCGAAAGTAGGTCAGAGGTTATTCTCCTTAACATCGGCCATCTATAGTGGCTAGACTATTAGTCTGACTTACCCTAAATAAGACCCACTCCCTTCTGATAAGGATAATGGTGGTCTGTTCACTTGCAGGAGATACCAGAGAGGGCAAACCCGCCCAAGGGTGACCAAGGTTAGATAGTCATTATCAGCTGTCTATATCAAGCAGACACCACTGTTTATTCCACAACCAATGTGGGCACACCCCTAGGTGATCCCCCTCCTATTGATTGTATTGCCTATGTTAATACCCCTCCTGGTGACTCAGGTTATTGTCCACTATCAGGGAACTTGCATGCCTCCCAGGATAGTAATTGTCTGCTTTATTGTATGAGACATTAGAGTGATCAAACTTGTTCTAGAATGAATTGTATTGCCCCTTTCTGGTGATGTATGATGCTGTAATCAGATCCCCCTAAAGTGATATGATGCGTGGTTAGCAATAAATAAGGAGGCTCCCTGGTTCTCGAGAGGGTGGCTGGCCGGGGGAGTAGCTGGCCGGAGGGTGGCTGGAGAAGGTGACTAAGGAGGATGAAGCAGCGGCTTCTTCTCTGACGGCTATGCCCCCTCCACGAGGACCACCAAGCTGGGCTGAGGTGAGCTATGCTACCATGAATTGCGTCTGACTCCATTACTTGACTCCATCCTTTAACTCTCATGCTATGACTTTACTATAATCTCTACTTATTATCGCTGTACAATTGCGCCTACCGAACCTGTGATGTTTTGTGGGGTTCCCTCTTCCCCTTAACCCCACACAAAATGTGATGGGGATGACGCTTGAATTTACCAAATTGATCCTGAGAGCAAAGTCTCATCAAAATTGTGGCTTTCTAAGGGATCTGCTGGGCCAGTTAAATTCAAGATAGGTTGGCTCTGAAGATAAAAGTGACTGCTTTTGGGGATTCCAAAGGGTAGACTTGACAGATTTTCTTGACACAAGATCATGGAGGTGGGCAGGGGGTGGGGGTGGGGTCATGGATGAGGAAGACATGATAGAATAATAAGAACTGCATCGGTGAAGAAAAGGCCAGGAAAGTTGTGCCAAGGAGTGTTTTTCACCAGCAATGCATCTGCTCGGCCTTCATAGATAGCGAGTTTTGTCCTATTAGAATTGGGTTGTGAACTGTGTTAGTCTGGCTAGACTAGAGAAACAAATCCAGAGACACTCATGTGTGTGTAAGAGAGAGTTTTATATTCAAGAGTAATTAGTAAGTATATAATAAGAAAACATCCCAGTCCATATCAAGTCCGTAAGTCCAAAATTAGTCCATATGTCCGATACCAACCCATAAATTCCAGACTCACGCAGCCATGCAATGATGCTGAAATGCAGGAAGGTCACAGGCCTGTGGGTGGAATGCATCCCAGAATGCTTCCCACAGGAGCTCCCAGAATCCTCAAGACAAGGCCATGGCCACACAGAGGCATCATTGGCTATGACCTGATTAACAGGCTAGACTCCGCCCTTTCTCAAGTTGACAGATTATCTAATTGTCACAGAAACCTTACTTGTCGGCCCTGATCTTTCTCTCTGATTCTTTTCTCTTGTTTCCCACTCTGAACAGACATTGAAACCAAACCCAATTTGAGTTGCTTGAGGATGTCACAACTACTGCTTTGGTGTGGTGTCAATCAAAAAGGGCAGAAGTCTTGGGGGCAAGGGTTGGGGAGATGCAAACACTGCCTTCAAATGTGGACAAACCTGGATGTAGGAGGTTGAGTAGTATAACTTCCCGTTTTGATCTTTTTATTGATAAAAAGATATTTTAGCAGTTAAAGAAAAAATAGAAAACTGATCGTTCAGCAAACATTCAAATACAGGTGGGGAAAGTCCATGAAATTGGTAGAAATAAACTTCACAAGAGGGCGGCCCAGTGATGAGCATGGTTATGTGCTTGGCTGCTAATGGGAAATGGTGGCAAATTCAGACCCCCCACAAAGGTGGCACAGCAGAAGGAGCTGGCAAAGGGCTCCATTGCAATGACAGCCAAGAAAACCCTAGGGGGCAGCTCTCCTGCCCAAGGGTTTGCTTTGAATATGAATCAGCTCAGCAGTCCCCAGCAACACACCAATCAAGACAAATATTTGGTTCATAGTCTTGAAATTCCCTGAACCTATGTATGGAGTTGTTTTTAGCAGTATTGTCATTTAAAAAAATATCTTCTCTTTGGCCTGAAGTATACTCTTCAGCTAAATTGAGAGTGATGACCATTTGAATTCAACTTTGACGACTTCATGAATGTGTAATAGCATAAAACGCTGCTCAGCTCAGCATCGCCTTCATAATCCTTGGTGTGTCTGGGCAAATTGTTATCCCTAGTTTCTCAATCCCCTAGGGAAGCAAGACTTTAGCATTCTGAAGGGTTCCTCCATTTCCCCTGACCTTCTGCTTTTCCAAACACAGTGCTTTTTTCTAGCAATTGGTCTTTTCTGCTGATGTGTCCAAAATAATCAAGATGAAACTTAGTCATCTTTGCTTCTAAGAAGCCAGGCCTATTACATGCCAGGCAATGAACTTACATCACCTTTCACAAATAGGAAAACTGACACTCAGACAAGTTTGATAACTTACCTCCAAACACAGCTAGCAAAAAAAACGAAACCAGAATTCCAACCCAGGTGTGCCCTTCAAAGTCCTAGCCTATTTCTACGACATTATCATAGAGCTCAGTAGCTAAGGGCTAGGCTGATAACTGAAAGGTCAGCAGGTTAAACCAACCAGCAGCTCTGCAAGAGAAACGATGTAGGGGAGGGTGGGGGAAAGAGGGGTGAAAAGAGGAGCTAATACCAAGGGCTCAGACAGAAAGCATGGGGGAAGGGCCAGCCCCCCACCACTAATCATGGGTCGGGTAGGCGCAATTGTATAGTTGTTATAGATATTATAATAAAGTCATAGAGAGCATGAGAGATAGAAGAGATTGAAATAGTGGAGCCAGGCACATTTCATGGTAACATGCTCACCTCAGCCTCACTTGGTGGTGCACATGGAGAGAGAGGGAGGGGAAGGAAGACAAGGGGAAAGGGAACAGGGAAGCCAGGACTGGAGAGGAGATGGGGAACCAACGAGAGACCAAGACGGGAGCCTGAGAGAGAGCTCTTTATTGCTAACCCAGGCCTATATATCTTTTGGGGGACGTACAAGCCCACTAATTACAGGTAAAGACATACGTCAGAGGAAGGGGTTGCACTATAGGTATTACGGCAATGAGAGGGGAACAGTCTAGGGATATATATGCAATAGGAAGAGGAGGGATTGGGGGTTACATGTCACAAGAAGGGCGAATCCTAGATTCAGGATCTCGGCCTAACTTTGGATGTCACTGAGCCGGTTTGACCTGTTCTCTGGATTTCCATAGAAACCATTATCAGTAGAGTGTGAATCCCACCTACAGTAACCAAGCTAATGGTCCCAAGTCTTTAGGGAGAAGTAGTCCATTCTTTAACAGCAGGGAGTGGGGCCTACCTGTAGTCTGGTGACAATCATTTATGGTTAGCTGCAAGCAGTGTCCTAAATCTAACTTGGGAGAAATCGTTCTGTTTCCCACAAGAAAGAAAATGTTTAGCAAATGATGATGGCAACATATGTACAAATGTTGACACAATAGATGTACGTATGGATTATGATAAGAGCTTTAAGAGCCCCCAATAAAATGATTTTAAAAATTGTAGTCTCGAAAATCCTTTGGGCCAATTCTATTTGTCCAATCAGGTGACTGCCATGGATCAAACCGCATCCCCCTAAAATGACACAGGTAGGCTGTGATTCCCTGTATCCATTTTTTTGCTATAAGAGTAAGTGACCTATGATCAATGAAACAGAATTAGGTAATGTTCAAGAGGATTAAAAATAATAAACTCTCTGCTGAGTCCATGTTGACTCATAGTGAGAAGGTAGAACTGCCCCCAAGAGTTTCTGAGACTGGAACTCATGATGGGAGTGGAAAGCCTTGTCTTTCTTCAGAGGTGCTGGCTGGTGGGTTAGGATGGCTCACCTGGTCCTTAGCAACCCAATTTATAACTCCTTCTTATTCTTTGAATGAGGCAGGATAGGTTGGGATGAATCACCCTTACTTAAAACACCCTAACTCTGGCCACAGCCCTGATCTGATGCAACCCAGAGTTCCCCTAGAGCTTGCCTTGCATAACCTTTTATTTTGGGAGCTGAAGCATGAGACAGAGGAGCGGTGACAGCGGGACCTCCTACCACCAAGATAAGCCAGGAGTGAAGTGTGCTTGGGTTCACGGTTCCTGCGCTGAGAACGTCTTAGACCCAGGGGACGATTGATGCCATGATATATGGAGATCTCCAAGAAACTTGGGGTCCACCCGATATTTACAAGAGGTAAGGACCTTCCCAGAGCCAACAAAGAGAGAGCCAACCCCTAAGCTAGTGCCTATAACTCTAAGGCAGCACTAGAAAACGAAGACCGTCACTGTCGCAGAATCAGCTTTATGGGTGATACTGAATCCACATACGTTCCAGCATCTGGGGAGCTGGAACGAAATCCTGGGTCTGGCTCCCACGTGGATCCAGGAGGCCTACAGCTGCAGGAGGAACCGAAAAACAGAGAGGGGGAAGTTTCATAAGGGGAAACGGAAGGGAGTGGGCTTAAAACTCAACCCGAGACCTCGGTGTCAGCGAGTCGCTGGCGGGGCGGCGCCCACGCACCCTGGGATGGGCCCAGGGAGGCCCCGGAGCCGCTGACCCCGAGAACGGGACGGACGCGACCCGGAAGTCGCTTCTGCCCTGACATACAATGGCGGCGTCCGCAAATCTCGCGCGCTTTGGCGAACCAATCCAAGTCCGACGATCGCGGGACGTCTGACGCAACAACGTTGGATGATGCAACGAGCAGAGCCCGGATAAAGGAGGCCACGGGGGAGCGCTGGGGTTTTTGCTCGGCGGCGGCGTTGGAGTCCGTGTCCTTGGAGTTGACCCAGGCGACCGCAGGGATGGGGCTGGGTGAGTAGGTTTCGGGACGCGGGGCTTGAAGTGTCGCCGTGCGCCCCTCCCCGCCGCGAGCCGGCTGCGGGCGTCTGCGCCGGTCCAGTCGACCCCGCACGCGGATCTGCCCCACGAGGGAACGGGGCGAGGGGCCTGGGCGCTCGGAGCGCCCGGGACGCGTGGGCCAGGCCGGGGCTCCCCTGTGAGGGGCCGTGAGAATCAGCCGAGACTGTCTCAGGGGCGGGTTTAGCCCCCACAGACGTCATTCTTCTTTAATCATTTGATTGGGGGCTCGTGCAGCTCTTTATCGCAATCCATACATTTGTTGCCATCATCGTTCTCAGAGTATTTGCTTTCTACCTGAGCCCTTGGTATCAGCTCCTCATTTTTCCCCTCCTGCCCGCCCCCCCCATGAACCCTTGATAATTTGTAAATTGTTATTTTGTCATCTCAACACTGTCTGACGTCTCCCTTCACCTTTTCTGTTGTCCATCCCCCAGGGAGGAGGTTATATGTAGATCCTTGTAATCGTTTCCCCCTTCCCACCCCACCCTCCCAGTACTGGCCCAGGGCACCTTGATTGTAAGGAAAGGACTTGAAATGTCTGCCACCATCATCTGCTTTGAGATTTCCAGGGTGGCCCCGGTGTCGTAGAAAACGAAATGCTTTAGGGGCCCCAGGGTTCCAGTGTTGAGATTTAGTAAGTGCGAATCTTTGTCATTTGCTGAATCTCCTGACTTCACTTCCTTTAAAAACCACAGGGCGCTGCGTGTGTTTGACACATTAGCACTGATGGGGCAGTGGATTAAGCATTGGCCTGCAAACGGCAAGATCTGCAGTTCACGCCTACCCATAGCTCCTTGGGAGAAAAATTAGACTTTCTGCATCCATAAAGACTTGTTAACAGCCTTGGAACCCCGCCGGGGCAGCTCTGCCCTGTCCTGTGGGCTTACTATGAGTTGGCAGTGAGTTTGGGTTTTGAGTCGATGCGCTCTGAGAGCAGATAGACAGGCGCGCTCCCATCCCATCTTCAGTGCCACCCTTTCAGATGAGTGGTGGGTTGGTTGTTTTTTTTTCCATTTTATAAATGAGGACATAAACACAAAGGTTAAGCATATTCCTTTTCTGTCTAATTTCAGAGTCTTTGCTTGAGTGAAGCTGACTCACAAATGCAAATGATTGAAGTTTATTTTGAAAAGCTGGTTTTGTAGCAGGTGTGCTTTTATGAGGTGGCTTTCATGGGAGAGAATTCATCCCATTTTCTTCAGCCAGTGCTGAAGCTACCCAGGACTCAGAAATCAGACTTGGTGCCATCAAGGCGTTGCCGACTTAGAGCAATGCTCTAGGACAGGGGAGAACTGTCCCTGTGAGTTTCAGCGGCTATAACTCCACGGGAGTAGAAAGCCCTATCTTTCCCCACGGTGCAGCCGGTGACCTTGGGATTAGCCCCCCACCGCCATCAGAGCTGCAGGCTGGGTGAGGTCGATGCAGTGTGTGGTGGTTGACAGTTGTTGGCCATGCAAGTAACTTAATCTCCTTTTTTCCACAGGAGAGCTCTATGTCTCAGATCGAGAGGGTGATGATGCCACAGGTGATGGAACCCAGGGAAAGCCTTTTAAAACAGGTCTAAAGGTAGGGTCTCCACTCTCTACAAAAAGGATGTGACATTCATTAATGACGTACGCCTGTTAGGCGACTTGTCAAGGATTTTATTTCAGGCCACTGGAAGGGAATTTTGGTTCATTTATCAGTAGTTCTCAGGACCAGACTCCGAGTGAGTTTAGCGTAGTCTCAGCAGATTTAAAAGGGAACCCAAGGGCTTCAGTGATAACATGGACTCCAAATGTGGAGGCTAGGTGGGCCCACAAGGCCTTTTGGCCCCTGACATCCATTTCACAATACCTCCCCCTCCCCCCCCCCCATGCAAACATATTCTTTTAATTGCCGTCAATAAGACCGAAACCTATAAATAATTGAATGGGCAAAAGTTGTGGGATAGAGATATGCAAGGGGGCTTCAAAAAGTTTGTGGGAAACTTCCATTATTTTCAAATTTGTTTTCAGTCATCTCTGGGGCTATTTCTTGCTGATTTGTTTGCTGGTTGCTCTTCCACCTGCATGGCCGGGTGCAGGGCCTTCCTGAAACCTTGGAGGGCCGGGAGGTACTGGGTAAAGTTGGCGAGGGTGGGTTCTGCTTTGTTCTCCGTGGTCTCCAGGTCACAGTCAGGCTGCGTGGTCATCGTGGGAGAGCTTCAGTCAGGTTGGGCCTTGCTTTGGGCTGAAGAGGTGCAAGGAGTCCGGGCAGAAGACACCGCTGGGAGCGCCGGCTACGTGTCAGGCTGTGGCTCTTTTCTGGCACTGGGTCCTGGAGCACAGGAAGTAGCATTTACCCTAAAGCCGAATTTCCGGCCTGGGCCATAATAGCCCTTGTAATGGGAATTTGAACTTCACTGACTTGACTCCTCCCCCCATTTGGAAGATGGTCAAGGTTCTTCCTTAGCCAGTGCTCAGCAAAGCCCTGCCCTGACACTCCTTTTGCTGTGGCCTATGTCTGGCTAGTCCTTTGATATTAGAATGTTCTGCTTAGGTTGTAAGCCTTGCCCTCCAGCTCTCCAAGTTTTCTCGTGTCATTGGATGATTCATGCATGACTTTTTAAAATTTTTAATCATTTTATTGGGCGCTCTTAAGATAACATAACACTCCATAGTTCAAGCACATCAAGCAGTACAATTGCTACTATAGTGGGGTTCGGAACATATTCTTCTTGAATGCCTTGGTATTAGCTCCCCTTTATCCCTTCCCCGCCTTACCCCCTAGGGGGACCTCTTATTTATTTATTTCCTTATAATAAGTTGTTTTTTATTGCCTATCTTACACATTCCAGTATATCCATTCACATACAGTTCCGAGTGGGGTTATACAGTCATCAATGCTATCAGCTACCAATTCTCCCACCTCTCTTCCCATACCTTCAGGGAACCAGTACTCCTGTTTCTGAAGGTTTATCTATCTTGGCTCTCATGTACTGAACAATCTTAAGTATGCAAATAAACATACACAAATCTAACATGATTAATGAGGTAAAACAAAAAACCTTAATAGTAAGGGGGCCACAAGAGGATAATTTTGTGTTTGATCAATGCTATAACAACCACATTCTGGACTTAATCATCTTTTCCATATGACCCTTCTAAGAAGGACTGTCCATTATCTTACACGTGGGTTTGGGGTCTCCACTACATCCACCCCTCTTCACATCAATTTGGTTGCTTGCTTTTGAACTTCTGATACCTTCTCCAGTCGACACCTCATGATCACACAGGCCTGGTGTGTTTCTTCCATGGGGGATTTGTCATGCATGACTTGATGCTTCATGCATTAATTCTCAAGCTGGAGAGAGAACCCCCATGTCTCTAGCTTCTGGGTTGTTCGGGTGCCACCTTGTGACTCCCTCAGACTGAGGGCTGTTTAGGAGGATGTTTGCGGGAGGGTGCTGTTGGTCCAGAATTGGGCAATTATAGAGTTGGCACATTTGGTTCCAGCGATGGAAAGGGAGAGATGAGGACAATGCAGGTAGAAAACGAATTTACATACATCATGATTTGTGATTCACACATCCCAGGGAAGGCTGTCCTGATCCCTAAAGTTACTCAGCCACGGAATTCGGTCTGCAAAGTTAGACATTTAAAAGAGACCCCATTCTGTACGTTTCCGCTCTTAGAACAGAGGAGTGTGATTGATTCGTTGTATCTCTTAAAGTTGATGTGACAACTCGGAATATTTTGAAGCAGTTAATGAAATACACATTTGTCAGAAACTTTCAACCCTTTGGTATGTCTTTTTGTACGAGAACAAAACAAAATGCGCAAACCTGGTGTGTCTGAATATTGATGGAAAGAGAGATTTTACGTGCAGGACTTTGTTAAATTAAGTGAAGCGTCGTGTGAGCTGTATGTTACTATTGCAGTCTTCCCTGATTTCTGACACAGGGCTCAGCTTTCCCACTGTGGTCCGCAGTTACTGCCATGGCCCTGGCTGCTGGCTCACCCTCCTGTTGTCCATGCCCCTGCTGGTGGTCCTAAGAGTCCTGTTCCCTTCCCTTTCCTGGGAAACTAATATACGGGGCTAACCAAGCTTGCTAGAGTGGTTAATGAGTGAACCTGAGAGGTTTTTCTCTGAGCAGCGTTGTTTTTGGTACATTCAACTGTCATTCAGGCAACATCAACTTTGGGCCATTGAGGTGTTTGTACTTTCTCTTCGGCTCTTGGTAATGTCCTAATTGCTTTGTAATTATGGAGCAATTTGCTTTTAAATACTGTAACCCCGTTGAAGACACGTCTTTTCTTTTCTTTCCACCCCAGGCTTTGATGACAGTAGGAAAAGAACCCTTCCCTACTATTTACGTAGATTCACAAAAAGAAAATGAGGTGAGGTGACCCGCAATGTTACGGAATTCTCCTTAGAGGCTGTGTTGTTACTGGAGCAGAGATAATACTGAAATCAAACTGTCTCCCTCCCTCCCTTGCTGTCTACTCAGAGGTGGGATGTCATTTCTAAATCTCAGATGAAGAACATTAGGAAGTTGTGGCACAAGGAACAAATGAAGAGCGAGTCCCGGGAAAAGAAAGAGGTGAGTGAGGAATTGGCTGCTGTTTCAGTTTTGCATCAGGATGCCCGAGCCCCTTCTAACCAATTGCCTTACCGTTGAAATTAGGTCGAAGACACTTTGCGGAGGGAGAAAAACCTGGAAGAAGCGCGGAAGATCACAATTAAGAATGACCCGAGTCTTCCAGAGCCCAAATGTGTAAGCGATGGTCAAGGCGTTTGCCCTTTGAACTGGGCCGCCAGGGCTCAGGAAAATCACTCCGGCTCTGAGAGAAATGAGTGTCTCGGACTTGGGCCGGTCTAAGCCTGGTTTCCCTTTTCCTCTGTGTGTTCTTTGGGGAGCCCAAGCACAGTGCGCATCTACAATTGACGTGGCTTGCTTTGAGATCCTGCCCCGGGCTGTGATGAGGTGCCATGTTTTTCCTGCCTCCTCAGGGTTGGAGCTGGCTTCAGCCCCTTCCTCTCCTGATTCTCCCAGATGGAAAAACCTAGCCTTTGTTAGCTTCCACGGGACCTGGGCAGTGGGGCTCAGGGCCAGGCTGGCCGGAGTGGCGGGGAGCAGGTCCTGTTCTCTCTGTGTGGGCTTTCCCTCTAGCAGTGTCTGTCTGGATAGCCAGAGGGC